GTAGGTAGGTAGGTAGGTAGGTAGGTAGGTAGGTAGATGTTTCCAGGTATACTTATCCATTTGCTGGAGAAGGAAATCGCTGACAACCTGCAGCACCTAACTTTGTTCCTGCTGGTACAGCATTTGATCCACGTAATTCTCATCAATCAGTTAAAGAGCTTTCCAAAAGGGGAAAAAAAGTTTTTGCACTTTGCAAACCTCCCCAAAAAGGCCCGTTTTTCACAAAAATGGGCCCGTTTTTTGTAAAAAAAAAAAAAAAAAAGCATGCGTAGCCTTATGGAGGCTTATAGAGTGCTGCTGGTGGCTGGGGGAGGGGACAAAAATGGCTCATTTTGTGCTTATTTCTGCCCTCCCCAGTCCCCAGGAGGTCTCTGAAAGCCTCCATAAGGGTATGCACGGCCATTTTGATGAAGGGGCGGGACTTCGGGAAGGCAAAAAATGCTGTTTTCCTTGTATAAGATGCAGCCAGATTTTCAGTCTCTTTTTTTTTTTAAGAAAAAAGGTGCGTCTTATACTCTGAAAAATATGATAATTTGCAAACAAGGAGACACTTTTTTCAGAGTTCTCTGTGTTGTATTGTTCTAGACTAATTAATTGAAGTTGGGTTCTGTTGTAATCCAATATCTCAGTATTTTTAGTGAAACTTAAGTTATATCAATTTATTCTATATCTAAACGTGTATACTGTCAGTTTTAATTACACGCAACAATATGTTAAACAGAATGTGTAGATTATTTAAAAAACTAGTTAGAGTATTTTTGTCTCTTTGTTGGTTGCAGTATATGCATCTGCTGGCAAAGCTTAATGCTTCTTTTAAATTCTCACTACTGTAGTAGATAAATATTTATATCTCAGTTTGATTTAGTTTGAAAAAAATACCCATTTTCCTAACTATAGACTTCCAGAATAACTTCCTTTCAGAGGCATTGATCTTGGCATTTGGTCTCAAGGGAGAGGCTCAATAGTTAATAGGTTTGTATTGTACATCATCATTTAGAATTAACGTCAAATCGTAATGGAAGAGTAAGTGATTGCAGTAGAAATGATTTAATGATAACATAACCTGTGGCTTTTATTTCCTGGTTAAAATAATTATGTACTGTAAGCAGCTCAGAGAGCTACCTTGAACAGCAAGATAGGCGGCAAATAAATTTGATAATAATCATAAATGTGATAATATTTTAGCATAGTGTAATTAGTAAAAAAAAATCAAAACAAAGAAGTTCAAACAATTTAAGAATCAAAAGTACAAAATAAATAATTCAAAAGCAAATAAACCCAACTGATAAAATAAACAAAAAACTCAGTATAAAAAAAAATAAACCCCAAAACACAGTCCTCCACAGGTTGGGATATATATTTGTATGAATATTTTCTTTTCTATTTGATGAAGTGATTTATGATGTCTCCTGTTTAAGTGTCTCATAAAACTCAAAAACGTATGCTAATCGTATTCTAATATACCATATGGTATTGCTTACCATGGGTTTTTAAGTGAGGACCTCACTTTTTTCTGACTCCCTATCAGCTTCCCCATTGATTTGACTTGTAGGAAGCCAGCAAGTAAGATTGCAAATCACAATTATGTGACTGCAAGACACTGCGAGGATCAGAAATGTGGGCCAGTTGCAGAGTACCTGGTGTTAAGGTTCTGACTAATAAACCCTAACCAATTCAGCATTCTGAGATTAGCAGTTTTCTTAAAGAACAATTTTATTGAGTTCATCATATCAGCATGTTTGAAAGTAAAACCAGCTCTAAGTATTTCCCATGGTTTCTGTGTAATTAAAGAATAGATACTTCTCTCCATCAGTGTCACAGATCACATTGTACAGTTAGGTGTTCTGGTGCCTCTTTGGCAACTTCCCACACTCTCTGGCCAGCACCTGTTGGGATGAGCTTGGTTCCCACAGGATGATGTGTTGTTGCTGTCTTGTCCGACATTCCAGAGCTCCCCCCTCCCACCAATGTGTGGCAGCAGAGAAATGGAGAAATGGCTGCAGCAGGCCAGATCTGTTTTCGAAGTTGACACCTGGATTGCAATCATGTGATCATGGGGGCACTGTGACAACTGAACTTTGACAACCAATCATAAGTACCATTTGTTCAGCACTGTCATGAGTTTGAATGGTTGCTTAATTAGTAGTTATTAAATAATGACCCCCTATTTGTACATACCATTATGTATAATATTTATTAAATATTGTATATTGGGGTCTTTAGAGAAGAATAATTATTACTCTTGTGGCATAAATCTAAATTGGAACTACTACTTCATTAAATGTATATATTTCTGTGAGAATACTTAAATAAGTCAAGAGTAATTCATAACTTGGTTTTTACTTCGAATCAAACTTCTTTGTAAATTGGAACTTTCAAAATTACTTTTTGACTTTTTCCCAGTCTAAACCTTCCGTAAAAGAAATCCATTTCATTAGTGTTCTGACTCTTGTAAGAGTTTGTTCAGCATTAAATGGCAGCATATTTAATTTTAGCTGTAGCATTCTAACCAGTGAACTACTTACTTACAGCAGTGTAACATCATGTAACAATATAATATTAGTGGGCAGGTAATTTGATTCTTTATTTATTTAAGATACCACTTCCCAAACAGCACATTCAAGGCAGTTTACCATTAAATTACTAAAGTGAAATAGTAAAAATCATATAGTGAAAGATTTATTTAAAAGTTTAAGTGGGAAAGATAACAAAGCAATTAATCCATGGCAAGTTATTGTATATAAACAGAACAAACTCCACTTCTTTCTAGCACTAAAGATGTTAGCTGGGTAACAAAACGTCAACAAAACATCTGCAAGAAAACAATCATGTTCAGAAAGTACCAAGGACTCTACAGAAGAGCAAGGTTTTCAATCTAAGAGTTACCCTTGAAGATCTTCCTCATGCAGTTTGAGGAGGATAGTAGGCATTGTCTCAGAAGTTCTTAGTCCATTTTGACCATAATTATGAATTGAGGGCATGAGGTAGTTCAGTACAAGAATGTACATATATCATTGGGATTCCAGAAAATGTTTCTAAGTGTTGATGTCTTTAGCAAATTTTCAGTTACTTGAGAGATATATCTGGAAATAGTTTATGTTTAGTAGATGCCATAGTACCAGAGATGGTATTCAGCCAGTTCTGACAGGTTCTTGAGAACCAGCAGAGGAAATTTTGAGAGTGGGGAGGGAATGGGGATTTTGCGGTATCCTTCCCTGCCACACCCACAAAGCCATGCCCACAGAATCAGTAGTAAAAAAATTTGAATCCCACCACTGCATAGTACAATATACTTAGTGTGCAAAATCATAGCAAAAATAATAAACAAATATGATGAAAGCTTTTCCCAGACTAAACTGTGCCTAGTATAAAATTAAAATACCAATTACAAGTATTCAGTAGTTTTAGAAGGTTATTTGCGGCATCTTGTTCAACAGGTTGTTTTTTTTTTTGGAACATGGGATTTGCAAAGACCTAGTAATACTTTTCCCATTTTATCATTTGTGGCTTGATGCAGTTGTGTCAGTGTGCAGAAAAGGTTTAAGCTTTTGCATGGATTTAGTGGGCAATAGTGTACAGTGTTGTATTTTTATTGTATTTCTCCCGAGTTCTGTGAATCATTAGAGAAGTTTTATACAAAATAATTTATGAATAACCATACACATTAATAGTTGATTTATGAAATTTTATTCCATCCTATCACAATCAACCCATGTAGTTTATAATCCAATTATATGCAGGATAAAAATATATATAAAACAATACAATAATAATATCACAACCTATTGTTAATTATTGTAATACTGTAATCCTTCATCCACATTTATTTTTAGTGCTTCATCATTCTAAACTAGACAATGGGGGAAATGACTAAGAGCCTTCCAGAATAGTCCAGAATGGCGCGAGCCCCCAAAATGCAATGTGAGCATCCCCCCATGCATGCATGTGCGCATGCCCCACATGTGCCCCACTCTCGTGCATGCATGGCAGAGAGCCGAAGACCAACTGGCCAGCGGGAGGTGCATGCGCATGCATGGTGGAACTGGGCTGGGGCGACGGATGGCGTGCCTGCAGAGAGGGCTCTGTGTTCCACCTATGGCACATGTGCCATAGGTTCAACATCATGGATATAGAGTAAATTACAGTAATTCAGCAGAAAGGATGGGAGTGACTGCCCTTAGTGCCCCCTACTCCAGGAAACACCACATCTCTCACACCAGAAAAATTGGATGAAGATCAACCTGGTTGTAGCCTCTACTTGGTCCTCAAGCAAAAGCCATCAGCACAAGAAGGTCCCCCAAGGTACTCTTTCAAATTAAGGACAATCCAGCCCAGAAATAAAGCCTTTCCAGTGGTATCCAATTAATAACTGCAGTAGAAGGGAATGTGCTCACCTGCAAACACTGGACAAATCAGAAAGCTTCACTGTCGAATATTAGCATTCAAACAAGAGATCAAATGATTAAAATACATTAATTTTTGTTAGCATTATGATGTATAACAGAAGCTGTCTGTTGTGGAAGTACCATAAAAGACTATGGCTTGTGAAATGGTACTAATGTGTAGATCAGCCCTTTAAACATGCCCAAATACTAATTTACCAATAAAGCCATAAAAATGAAACTATATGCACTTTTTTCATGGATTAAGAATTTACTAATTGTATAAGCAAATGTACATAGATTAATAAAACAGAATGGAATTACATAACCTCTAAAGTTGTGGGAATTTTTATTAATTTGTCAAGAATGGTTTCAGTAAAGTTGCATGTGAATCAATATGTTTTTTCTTATATTCCATTGGGAAAATGAGCTCATTTTTTTCCCTTTTGGATTTATTTAGGTACGGCACAAAGTATCGGATCAAATCATGGCCCTGAAGATGAATACACTAAGCAGCAATCGTGCAAACATGTTGAAAGAAGTTCAGCTCATGAATAGGCTTTCACATCCAAACATATTAAAGTAAGAAAAGGTGTGTGTGTGTTTGCATGTATGTGATAGTGTGCTTACAAGTGTAGGTGCAAATTTAATTTTAATTTTACTACATACCACATATATCCTTCATGTTTTAAATATTCAGAGAGTACTCTTTGGAAGCTCAGAAGCCAATGTTGTCTCGGGCTTATGTATATTCTTAGTTCCTTGTCTCTTTCTATTATTCTCAATCCTTTCCATTCCTCTATGCTATATTTCTGGGTCTCCTTTCTATTCACTTGCCTCCCAGATCAAATACATTTCTGAAAATATTAGTGAAAAGCACTCAAAGGATAGCTTCACCAAGCATTTTAGCCCAAACAAATCACACCTTCAAAGTGTTAAGGAATTGGAGTCAAGGTGTGACTAATTGAAGATCTTACCATCTAACTTCTATGCATGTAGAGACAGCACTTCCCCTGGGATTGATAGGAGTGAAGAGGATATGTGTATGCAGATATAATCATAGAAAGCTGTTTAATCAGTATTCTTATAGCACAGCTGCATTTTAATGCTTCCTTTGCTTTAGTGACCTGTGTCACTAAAAGAGCCCCTTTGAATCCTTTGCACAGTCCTGTAAAATGTAGATCCTGGGATCTAACCTACACAGAAAGGAGATTGGGTTCTGTTCATATCTGTTCCTTAGACATCTATTTAAAATATAAGGACCAAAAGTATTGGAGTAGGATATACGAAATGTCCAGTCTAAATATTGATGTACATATAGGGTTCATTCTTTTGTACACTGAACCTATTGAAAATTGGTACAAAGGTCTAACGAAGTAAGTATGGCTTGCATGAATTGCTTTCCTAATCACTTTTATCTCTCAAATGCATTCTAGACTGATTAGGGAAACATGTTAAGTATGAGGAAACTTGCATTAATGTTACATGCCCTTGAAATGTGTTATGAAGGCTATTAACTTCTATTAACATGACTACTAATTTAATTTTTAGCTTGCACTGGAAATTTCTGTTGTATAACTGAACAGAATTCATGAAATGTTAAGAGAACATAAATTTATGAAACTTTATTTATTAATTTTTTATGCCACCCATTTCCCCTATAGGTGACTCTTGGCAGCTTGCAGATTATAAAAAGACAAGTAGAAAAATAATTAAAGTGTTAAAACTATTAAAATTCAAAACTATATTTTAAAAAACCAGGACTAAGAAGACAGCACAGTGGTAAGTGCTCTTCTTCAGGCCCCAAGCCAACTGGCAAAGCACAGTTTTAATACCTTTCCAGAAGGCCAAAAGAGTGGTAGCAGTTCTCACATCTCTTGGTAGAATATTCCACAGGGATGGGGCCATGGCAGAAAAGGCTCGTCTCCCTGATCCTGCCTGCCAGAATTCCTTAGCAGATGCATCTCTAGCAGGCTTCTTCCGCTGGCGCCAGTGGGACAAGCTAGTCCCATTGGGGTGAGATGGCCTCTCAGATAAGTGATGGCAGTTTGTCCAACTTTAAACGGTAGTAGCAAGAATAAACAAAAACTCAACATGTACAGCTGTAAATATTTATGATGTTTGGTATCTATTAAAAAAACCTAAAGCAAATTCCATTCATATTTTATGCTTCCTAGAATACGTATTCCTATTTTTAAAGTCTTTTAAAATAATAAAAATAGAAAAATAGAAGTGCAATGGTGGATATTGGATCTTTTCTCTTTTATGTGACTTGGAATCATGGAAATAATAAATATTTTGATATAATGTATTGTCTTAAAATATAATACAGAGTAGTCTGTATGCAGGCCATATCTAACCACCAGCCTGCATTTTTCTCCACATCATGCAGCTTAAATTCAGTGGCAAAGTAGATTATCTTTGGCTTTTCATTCTAGCAAAAATAAGAGTAGAATTTGATACTCCATGCTTCTGTGAGGGAAAATGCATCTCTTTTCATTCCTATTTTCTTGAGCTAATATTTTTGGCCTTGCTCTTCTGTCCTAATGATATCACCAAGAAACTTCCCTGAAATTTTCAAATGGCAAGATCATTTTTTTAAAAAAATTATTGGCTACTAGACAATTTGCTATTTCTTTGGTACATCCAGATTATAGCTATTTACATTCTTGTTTTGAAAGATAGAGGTACAGGCTGGGAATGTACTTCTTTCTTCAATCTCACCTCAGGGGATAAGATGTTCCAAAGGGCAGGAGCCACATCAGAAAAGGCTCTTCTGGAGTCCAGCAGCCAAAGTTCCCTGACCAACAGGGCCCACAGCATGCCCCTCTGCCAGTATCAGTGGGATGGGCCCGTACCATTGGGATGAGATGATTCCTCAAGTAACCTGGGCCTATGGCCCACATGCAGGCCTTTAAAGGTAATAGCCAACATCTTTAATTGCACCAGGAAATAATGTGACAGTCAGTGAAGCTCACAGAGCAGTGATGTAACATGGATCACCCTAGGGACCCCAAGAACTGCCCATGCAACTGCACTTTGATGAGTTGTAGCTTCTTAATGGACTTCAAGGGTAGCCTCATGTAAGTGTATTGCAATATTCTAAATGTGGGGTGACCAGGGCTTAAATGACTAATACAAGGACTCCCTATGAAGGAAGGACCACAACTAGCATGCAATACAAAGTTGTGAAAAGGGTCTCTTAGCTGTGACTGCCACCTGCTCTTTGAGATCCAGGAGAACCCTAAAGTTGCAGACCAGGTATGTTTGGAGTAGTGCAATAGTTCCCAACCTTTTTTTGGCCATGCCCCAGTAAGCATCTCTAAAATCCTGATGACAACCCTGTGACATATAATTCTTACTTTACTCAAAAAGTGAACTCTACTCACGCAAAAGAAGCCTAAAAGTCATTAATGTGGTTTAAACAAAGTTCAAATTGCCCTTATTAAAAATCAAATTGCCCCCCCTGTGGGGCATGGGCTCCACATTGGGAATCACTGGGGTAGTGCAACCCCATCCAGAATTAACATCTTGAAGCTCTGTGCCTCCAAACCCATTCAGTTTTGCCAGGATTCAGGCGAAGCCTGTTGTCCCCATCTAGGCCACCAGAGCCTCCAGGTACCGTGAGAGGACAATGACAGCAAAGACCCGGAGGTTTTCACTGACCAGGAAAGGCAAGGATCTAATTGACAGGTGATTGCATCTCTCAAAGCTTCACCCCCCAAGGAAAGTGTAATAAGTTTTTCCTGCCCATTGCAGAGGATTGATGCTCTTTGTGGTCCTTTCCAACTCAATCATTCTATGATTGACATTAATATTTAAAAAAACATGAACATGAAATCTCAAGATTAAAAAAATAAAAACAAGCATTTAAGTAGATAATAAACTAAGTCACGCATGATTTGTGTGTTCTCTAAATGAATCAGCTTAGTTTGGGAGAAAATGAAGTTATAAAATCAGAATAAATAGTTATGCTTCCAAAACAAGCATGTTTAATTTTGTATCCAACTTGGAATGTATTGTTAGTCATTCTTTTAACCCTGTATTGTCAGACTTAAATTATTAAAGCATCTTGATATGACATACGCTTATTCAAAGATTTTAATTTTAAAAATTAAGTTACATTAATTTTTATTTTTTTCTTTGATTTTTGTGAGTCACCCAGAATTATTGAAAATTGGGTAGTATACAGATTTAATAGATTAGTAATCATCATCACTGCCTATTCTATGCCAATACATTATAACATCCTACGTTCTTGGGAAGAACTTGAACTTGAAGGCCAGCACCAGCTAAAGAATTGGCAGCTCTGATTTCACATTATTGTGTATACAATGGCAACTTTGCCAAAGTTTAGCTATATATTACAGAACATTCAGCATTGACATTGGTAAAATTTATGAATCACTTGCTTATTATTGTAAACAGATGATTGAGTTATTACTACTTGGGTTATGCCTCCATAGTTGAACATAGCTGATAGTAGTTTTCTGTTAGAAATGAGCTTTTAATACATGTATTTTACAGAAATGACTTTAGCCTATTTCTTTGTATCTGGTATTTATTTGTTTTATAACTCTGCTAAGGAAAATATAATTTTCTTTGCATTTGAAACCAGTATTGTTTATCAGTACTGGGAAAGTTCTCTATCAAAAGCCTTGGGAAATTGTTGTCAGAATAGATAGTATTGAGCTAAATGGATCAGTGATCAGAGTCTGCATATAACTTGATATGGCAACCTTATCAATGCTGATAAGATGTAGTTGTTGATCGGTATACATTATCTTTGATTATTGTCATGGATGAACTATCTGAAAGAACTGGGGATGTTTCATCTAGAGAAAATAAAATGGTGGAAAGGCATGATATTGCATTCAGATACATAGGAAAGATAACTTGAAAGGATGATATTTTTCAGAATAAAAAATAGTTTTCTGATAATCTAGCACGTGCTCTTTTTCTATTTGTAATGCCTTTAATTCCGCAGTTCTTCATTTTTTTTCTTTGCTTTGTCTTTGTAAAAATTGTGGCTAGAACCTCTTCAAGTATCTAAATTCCCCAAAATAAGAAACGCTAGAAATATTTTATGTGTAGTTATTTTTTACTTTACTTTTCATTCTACCTTTATTTTATAAATAACTCAAGGCAGTGAACATAAGTGATGCCTCTTTCTCCTCCAATTTTTCCCCACAACAACAATTCTTTGAAGTGAGTTGGAGAATTGTGACTGGCTGAGAATTGCTTTATAGTTACACAAATCTAACAATTCACTTGCTAATTAAACCCATTTTGAGCAAATTAAACACAGCAGAAATGAGTCATTCCAAATGTTCCTTTTTATATTTCATCTGCTTTTGTTTATTACAAAAGAACAATCCATATTTTGGGAGTATTATTGTATATTAGGAAACAATAGAAATCTTGTAATTCTTTCAGCAAATTTTGCAGAACAATATAGATTGGAAAAGTATCTGGATCAGATAATGTACTTCTGAATCAACCATAATAAGATTTTTAAAATTAAAATACTAAAATAAAGCTGTGAAAGTAAAATTCAGACATATCATGTAAACTGTCCTTCA